GAAGTAACTCCATATTGTAAGGAAAACAGGCATTATATTTATATGATTATACTTAAGCAGAGGTCAAGCAAGAAGTTGAGAAAGCAGCTGAGAACTTACTCTGGAGCATGACAACCAAAGGTTCCAAGATAGCAAATAACAAGTCAGTAAAGAGTAAAACATCCTACCTGATTCAAGGAGTTAGCAACCATCATTGTTCCAACACAAGTCCAACCGCAAAATCAATGGCATTTCCACTCCCCAGCACATATCCAATCCCTGAAGTTGCCACTACGAGCATACTACACAGACAAAATCAATTAATCCAAGTTTATTCCAAAATCAGAGAAATTACAACAAAAAAGAACGCTAAGAAATTCTAAAATTGATTTGAGACGAGCCTTCGAGAGCCCCCAATAGCAGTGACCATTTTGGAATATAAACAAGAAAAACCCAAAACTCAAAATCTCAACTTGTAACACCTATAAACATACTTATAACGATGTTAACATCAATGCAATAAATAATATAATACACTGAATATAACTTTAAGATGCAAATATAAGAACCCACTTTCAATAATGCTTCTTATTCAGCCCCAAACCGTGAATTAACTAAAAATTCCATTCCTTTCCTATAAATATGAGAAATTGCTATGACCACAACTAGTTTAGAACACAGAAACACAACAACAGAACTCCAGAAATTAAAAAAAAAAAAAAAATGATGAAACAAGAACTAAAACAAAAAAGGGGCAAAATTTATGAGATACAAGACAAAAGAAAAGGAATTACCGGTCCAGAAACTGGCTTCAGCCTTCTTGTACATCTACCAAAGGGGCCGATACTTAATGGGAAACATGCAAAACCTCTGGTTTTGCTGCTTCAATATTGGCTCTCTCTCTACCTCTTCTCCCTCGTCTTTTCCTCTATTTCCTTTCCTTGACACATCTTGTAGAGAACCCATCTCCTTCTTTCAGTCCCTCTGTCTATTCTTGCTATCTTTCTTTTGTAAAGAAATCGGATAGTCGAATGAAATGAGTAGGAGAAAACCTCTACAAAACCCCCCAAGAAGTAGCGAACTGGGAAATGAGGATTGTGGGTAGTGAAAAGAGAGAAAGGGAGGTTTTTGCGGCAAATGGAGAAGATGAAAAGAGAGGACCCATCGGCAGAAGGAGACGCAAAAATGAGGTATTTAACTGTGTTTATATAGTGGTTTAATCATAAATTTGGTAAAATATGAGGGTAAAATAGGTATAATGGGTAAATTTCATTAAAGTGAAGCGAGAAGCACGCGCAAAAGCTTCAATTTCAAGCTTCCTCATTTTCAAAAAGTGGAAGCTCGTATCAGCTTCCCAGCAGCAAAAGTAAAATCCAAAAGTTTGGGTGTTTGGTGCAGCTGGACCTTTTAGGCTACAAAAGCACTTCTCACCAGCTGCACCAAACACACACTAAGAGCAGTGCTCAGAGCACTTGCTTTAACACTTGCTCTTTACCACTCTCCCCTGTATTTTGGCCACATTACCTATGAATTGGAGATGTTAACCGAAACCGGCAATAGCAGGTGAATTGCTAAAAGACAAAATTATTAATTAAGTAATAAAAAATATAAAAAATTATATTTTTTTATTTTAACTACACAATAAAATACCATCTATCTCATCTATTATCGTACTCATATCGTACCATTCAAACTTATAACTTCTTATTTACCATAAAAGCAAATCACCGCTAGTTGGCTCGTTTACGAAAAAATTACACCTTTTTAAGAAGAAGAAAAAGCAAAAACTTTCAAGTCTTCTGCATTTCTCCCCTCCTCCCTCCCCCGCCATGGACCATGGTTGTCCGCTCTATCATCCGATCGACTTTGGTCTAATTTTCCTCCACCACAATCCAATACTTTTCTCTTTCCTCTTGCAAAAAAACATAACTGAATACTGCCATGAAAGAAGAGAGTACTATATACCTTGCAATTCAAAAAACCCATAGGTACCTAAGATAATATGTGCCTCCACTGCTGCAACAAGCAAGAGGTGAATAGAGGCCCCTGGTTTCCTGAAAGAGATTAAATGCTCATC